AAATTTCCGTCTGACTACTAAGCGTCCTCATTTTGGCCGTCCGAAATATGGTATCCCTATTAATATTCATTGAGAAGAAACAGAATATGCGAGTTGCCAGGACAAAATATTCATGAAAATAAGGATTCCTCACGGAATGATGAACTACTGGCAACTCTATCAGATTATCTTTGGACGGCTTTCAACGATGGGACGGTTTCAAGTTCCGGCTTGAAAGGTTAAGATGTGCACCTCATAATTATTAGGACGACAACACGGTCTCAGTGCGTTTTGTGTTCATCTACCGAAGGAATCCTGGACGAATCTCGTCCGCTTCTTTAAATCCCCTGGAATGTGACTCCCTGCTTGACATGCTGACATGTGCATCACTCCGGGTTAGCCGAGCCATCGGGCGTAAGTCCAAAAAATCGTGTCTCGATCATCTGTCGATCTATTCTTTTGTCGGGTGAACCAAACGATTCTGCCCTCCGATCGGGAAGCCATTATATTTGAACCGTATTGGCCCACGTCAAGCATCATATCGCGCGCGTTCCTAGGCGCTAAGTATGCATCATGGGACACTTTATACGAGGCGTTACCCGTAATCGCGAAATCGAACTAAGCCCATTGGCGAGACTCATCATAGGCTGTGATCGATGCCTACAGACACATGACGACGTTCATGAGGAGGCTGACACTCCAGTTTTGAAAACCCCGCACCACATGGCAGTTCCACTCTCAACTTACCCCTTCAATTAAAGACCTAATAATAATGAGCATGTTGTGGCATCGTCCTAGAAAAGAGAGAAACTTCCAAAGTCTCTCTCTCTCTCTCTCTCTCTCTCTGAGTTTCTAGAAAGTGGATTTACTGCGAAAAATTATATCTGTATCGTGTCATTTAAGAAGTAATCCACCCGATTCTTCGCGTCCGTGGGTTCGTGGTTGCTGCGACGCGTCACTCCGACTCGTCCGACTCGGTGCCTCTCTGTCTGCAGTCGACGGTCGACGGTGAGATGGCCAATTAGGGGTCATTTACTGGGATTCCTCTCCCGTGTCGGCTGGAATGCAGAATGACGTCGGAATATGACGAGCATCTCCTCTCCGCAAACAGCGGGGAATTTTCCGCGAAGAATGAGGGATTTTTATTCCACAAGTAGGGCCCATTGTCATGTCGAGAGCAAACATTATTCATCTGGGAGTGTTGATTTGATGGGATGAATGACTCGACAGGAAAAGAATGCATGCGCTTTCCCCGGCCTGGATGCGTCCGTCTTCGTGGGAAAACAATCCCGGGAATGTTTTCCTTTTTCTCCGTATGACAAACTATGGCTCTGCTCGACGTGGCCTCGTTGTAATTATAGCATATAATACTTAACCGCCCATCCCCTCCCCCTTTCTTTCCCCGACCCCACCGAAGTTCATTCGTCGTTCTTGAGGAAATTTCGCATCCTGTCGTATCGAATGAAAAAGTTCAACGAAGGAGAATAGCAACTGCAGTAGAGATCCCCCCCCCCCCCCCCCCCCCCCCCCCCCCCCCCCCATTTTTTTTCCCTCAGACATATTCAAAGACCCATTTCTTAGAAGTTCTCAGAAGAAGGAAAGAAAAGAGGCGTCTTCCTCGTGTATGTGTGTGTGTGTGAGGGCTCATTACAAGCTGCTCGTTATTGTTCCTAAGACGCTGCACTTGGGGTGCAGCTGCAATCCATTCCTTCTAGTATACGTTGAAGAAGTAATATAGGGTCTACCCTTTCTCTCGGCTCTTCTTTTCTTCACGTCCCTGCAGGCAACTTCGCTATGCCGTCTACATGAGAGGGTATGATATCGTAGTTATAATATCGAATTCCTCACTATGATATACCGTATCTCTATGGTCTACTAACTTGTTACATACGTGTTTTAGATCCAGGACTCTTCTGATCTGTCTGATCAGCTATGAGTTGCTCACCTCCGCTTTTGTGGACCATTTGCGCAACGAATAAGATGCCGAATTTTTTTGTTGTTAGGGATTTCAATTGGCCCCAAATTTAATCCGTTAATAGTTGATCCGATTAATTGAGTTTTAATCTTCCCGTATCATCCAAAAAATCTAATTAATGCATAAAATCTTTCTCCACTATTGTCATGCAGATACCAAGATTAAGCCAATTGATATTAGGCCTTATGTAAATTTTTCCACGCGCCATACGCAGTAATGGAAGTGCAACAGAAAATTGTCGCTCAGCTTAGATTAGCACAGGATGAAAATTAAAGTTACTTGAAATACAACTTTAGCCGGATTAATTTTGTTAAACTAATAATAAATCAATTGCCTAAATCTCATCGTATTGGCAGCCAATTTTTTTTACATTTCACAACATTAATCCCACTTACTATGTATCAATAATCAATGATTAGTAGAAACCATCGCATCATAAATAATTGGTTTTAAAAATTATGCAAGGAAGACCATTACAATCCCAGAACCGAAGGTGAAATTCCTTCTGACGAAATTACACACCTGGAAATTTTTTTACACAAATAACTGAGCAAATTTTTTAAATTTAAATTAAAATTTTTTTTTTTTACACCAGGACGAGGTGGAGTCTTTTAAGTCTCGCACCAGACTCGTTTAAAATACTTAACTGAGGAAATGATGCGTTGGCAAAGAATGCGTCGCAAAACTGTCTCCTGTTTCCGGAGAGTGTCGTGTTATTCCGAGCTGTTCTTGTGCTGCTCTTGGTACCTTCCACGGTACACCTAGACGATAGACGTAAACCTGCACGAAGCACGAAGCACCTGGAAGCCTCCAGGCACCCAACAGGATATTTCATTTTCCTCTTTTTACTCAATTATGTCACGGAGGAAAGGTCGCTTCCCCGGTTATCGCCATCCGGCTCCTGCGCATCACGCCTGGGAAAAATTATTCTGCATGTTCTTGCGTCCTGCTTCCGCCTTCATTATTTGACATGATTTTCTCCTTGTACACATTTCCCCCTGTTGATGTGTCCCTTGCCTGGGAGGAGGAAAAGCCTCACCTGGGTTTCCTCCCCTCTTTGTTCTTGTACGTGAGAGCGACACTTAATACTGCCTCTTTAGTACGTCTCATCTGTCACTTCGGTTGAAGTTGTTCCTACGACGATTGTGGCCCCGCCGTATCTCAAAACCTCCCCTTCGGAAGGACTTCATACGAAAAAAAAGGAAGGAGAGAGAGGGGAGGAGAAAAAAAGTAGTAAACAGGCCCCCAGTGTCTTGGCTTTTCCCAGGGTCCCCCCCTCATGCCCCTTCTCTTTTTTCTCTCTCCCTCTCTCGGTGCATGTCCCGAGCTTGTCAAAGTGGGATCCCAACCAGATGGTTGTAATAAACTCCCTACACATACACTGACACACACATACACCCAGATTCACATTGAGAAGAATGCGAACGACGACGCAGAAACCACTAGCAACTCCTCCAGCGACCTCTTCCAATATTCATAATCCACTGGAAATGTATCCCTTCTCTCGGTCATGGAGAAGAAGGGGGTTCTCATGTTGCATCGGTATGCATCCGAGAAGCAAAGAGATCTCTTGGGTGTAGTCTCAGAACCTGGCTTCATGCAACAACAAAAACAACAGGGATGCGTGATATTCCATGCGATTCTGACATTCAACAAAAGCGAGGTAAATTCCGAAGTATCAAATCCGAAGGAAAGGGTTTAATAAGGGAAAGAGTTTGATTGGCGGGATCTCATTCATTTGCGGAGTGATGATTGGTGGGCAGGAAAAGAGAGAGGGAGAAGAGCTAGACTCTAGAGGCAGGGCCTCGGCTAAGGCTAGGCAGGCCAGAGCCGGACGAACAGAAACAACCCAGACCCCATAAGGCATAGTAGAGCTGAAAGACGACGACCCACCATCTGCTATTGTTCTGCATCGTGATTACCTCCCTGGTCGTCTTGTGATTCCCAGTTATCGGCTTATCACAGCCGCCTGAGGACGGAAGGGATACAGTTACCGAAAAGTCTCTTAAGGCCTTATGGCCCCTGGCATTCCTCCTCTCTCTCTCCTTCCCCGTTTCATCTCTCTGTGAAGTGAGGTGCGGTTGTGTGTGAACTCCCCACCAGTGCATGGGAAAGACAAGGTGTTCTCCCGTCGCCATCTTAGGCACAAATGCCTGCCTATGCCATGGCAGGAACCGACCATGCGAGCCCAAATTCTAGCCCTACGGTAAGAGTGACCTTTGTGCTTTGACCGCTCACCTCGGATGAATGCAGTGATGAGCGTTGAGGTGTGTGCCGTGTCTAGCTCACAGTCTTGGGATGCAGTCGAGGCAGGGAGAAACAACCAGCGAGAACTGCCGATGGGTCCGTAGCTGAGAGTGATGTAAGGGAGAGAGATCGGATGATCCTCTCGTCTAATGTTTCAAATCGCTCACTTGACGATTTCGTATCGTAACAGAACCCCATCGTATCACGTTCGCCTCTGTATCCCTTGTTACTCAAACGGCCTCATTTTAACGAGGCAATGTCACGACCGACAGGAGTTGTCGGCACCCCATGTGTTACCTCGTGGTTCTCGGGAGTTCCCATGAATTGTTTTGGGGATTTACGTGGGAAAGTAACAAGTCGACTGTTGTACAATGCACGAGCTCAATTTTTGAGTTTTTTTTTTCATACGGATGTAATCGAACAGAGCAGGCCGCATAATCAAGTCTTTGCCATTCGTTCAAGGACAGATGGTTTCAAAAGAAATTTTTTTTTTTGCATTATTAGTATTGTAGTAAATGTTCTACGCAGAAGAAAAAATATAAAGATGGCCTGCAGAAGCGAGGTCATCTGTAAGCTGTACCAGTCAGAGACAGTCAGATATGGAGAAGAGAGGCACGAACAGAAACACTTCCAGTTCCGCACATCATCCTTCTCGTACAGATGCTCTTCCATAGCCTTCTTGTGTTGTGCTTCGGGGTTCTCGAGGGGATTTGGTATTGTAAATGTCTTTGGTGCGTTAGTATCGTCGCTCATGGGATGATCTGAAGGTCAAGGGGAGGTGACGGGTTCTCTGACGAAAATGTCCATAATCTCCATCCAGGCCAAGAGGTTCCGGTTAGATCAAGGGGGTCGAGAAGAACAGCAACCTGAAGTGTTACCTGCTGACATCCAACATCCCTTGGATGACAGACCAATCTTATGTCCAACGATAGCGACGACCAACCCTACCCCTGCCTGGTGAGTTCCTCATTCACCATATCCAGGGCTCAGGCATATGGATTACAGGGGAACTGCAAGGGCTGTGATGATGGCACGGACAAGCCATAAACAAAGCACCCCTTCTATGAACTGACGCTCTAACACGACACTTCCAGGATGCCTCCATTATACATCCTTCGACTGGGCCAGGCGTTTAACAGTAACAGATGCACTCATGCTCTCCGACTTGGATATTCCCTAAAATCATAGCAAATCATTTTCATCTCCGAAATACGAATCCCGCTTAGTCTAGACCTGCGAAAGTTAAGGGCGAGGGAGATCTACCCTGTATGGAACTGGGTTCAAGGGAATAAGAATAAATGGTTGAAGACCGAGGGCTGCAAGTGGTTGCCAGATGACTTTTCTCGGAGGCAGAGGCAATGCCCCCTTCTATGGCCCTAAACTTCTACCCCATCCTCCTACTGGATAATGCGCTGCAGTATCGACAGCTGGAGATAATCCACGTATCCCCGTCAACTTGAACCATATTTCTCTCGGGTCACGGATAAGGTTCCGCCTCCGATGCTAGCAGTTTACGCTGATGCTAATGCATGGAAGTAATAATAATTGGATTTCAATCCCCACCCAGTGGTGAATTCCTCGTTGCTCTGAAAATTGAACCTCATATTCAAGTGGGAGGGGATGAAACTTTTTTTTTTCATGGATCACCAAATGATCTTAACGAATCTTCTTAACTTCCAAACGAATGGTGGTCATCGGTCATGCCTAAGAAATATCCGGACAGTAACTCAGATGGTCCCCAGGGCAACGCAGGTAATTTTCCCAGCCTCCTTGCCATGACAAATGTCTCCGATTCACCATTTTTCTAATCATGGAGACAATAGGCCTGACCAACGCGAGAGAGATCAAGCAATTTTGCAAGTTAGTTCTCCCTTTACCATGGGCTCATATCCGTTTATGTGGCTTGAGGGGTTAATTTAGGGGCAGGATTCGCGACATTCTGCTTCGTCACCGATTATTGCTTTGAGGAACCGTTCATTTCAATGATTTCTTCGGCAAGTATGAAGGTACTAACCCAAATGAGAATGATTGCCTGTGGAATATTACTGAAAATATACGGAACGAGGCGACTAGAACTTATAAGTGGATTCCCCCCGCTCTTCGAATTGATGATGGCAATGATGCCCCCCAAGGGCCATGATAGCACCGAATGGTTCCTTCTCCCCCTTGTCTATGTGTGGTATATGAGAGTTCCCTTTTCTCATTTATCACCAGAGCGAGATGAAGAAGGCCCACTTTCTGTTGACTCATCGAAAACTTTTACATAAAGAGAGCACGACTTCATCAAGAGGAAGTGGGTTACTCACTCGCTACTCAGACTCCTATAGATGGCTTGCAGCTGACGGAAGAAACAATGTGGATTGCCCAGATTGCCTCCTCGCACCTAAATATTCCATTTTGTGTGATTTTCTGAATGCCTTTCTTCAAATATCAATAGGAGTAAAGTAAAAAAAAAAAATTTAATGGAAAAAAGAGGCTGGTTTGCTTCGTTTGATTTGCGCTCTATGTTCCGGGCTTTATTTGAAAAGCCAGTTTGGCATAGGTTCCCCTCCCCATGGTGACGCTTTCGTTGTGCAATGTAATCTCGGGGTGGAATGGATTTCCCTTCTCACCCCCTCTCAAGAGCGTGTGAAACCTGTGCTGTCCACCGCTAGTGAAGGGTGAAGGGGGGAGGAGGCCACCGATAACAGTGTTTTTGATAGGAGGGAGAGGGAAAAAAGAGCTAAGGGTAACTAATGATGGAGAGGCCCTGCAACTTGAGAATGGTACGCATATCAAGTAACTCGCGTCCCTCGAAAGCATTTTCCTCCCAATTGACGTAATTAAATGTCATACATTTCCCAGTTCCCCTTCGGAAGCCCCTGGTAAAGGAACGTGCATCGACTGGTTCCTCCTCCGCTGATGTATAACTACAAAGCGAAGTCTGTCTAAGGGGATAGAGAGAGAAAATAAAAGGGAAAAGAAATGGTGAGGGACAAAGGTCAGTGAAACTTCTCAGAAGCCGAGTCTGAGAAATTGTCAAAACAGCTTCAGCAGTCTCGAAGATCGAGTTACTCCAAGTGGGTATATGCCCCCCTTGTTCCATGTGGTTCCCCCTCCCCCCTCAAAAATGTGGGGAAGGAGGGTCAGTTAAGGAAACAAAAGCATGCTTAACAGGTGGCAGTCCAAGGATTGAGATGCGAACGTATCATGTCGATTGCAGTTGTGAGGAGCAGCAGCCTGCCTCCGGATCTAAATCTGTAGTCCTGGAAGAAGAGATTCCGGAAGAAATCAGTGGATCCAAGGAGGATTCCCTGTGTGATAGTGGGAGTGGAAGTGGAAGTGTGGGTGCAGGTGGGGGTGGGGGTGGAGAAGCCATCGGTGACCTCGGGTGCACCTCTACTAGTTTCTCCCTTGCAAACCATTGGTCTCAAATGACCACTGCCGTACCTTCCGTCGCTGTCCCGACCGGTGAGATTCTTATTTGCACTTTTTTCCACCCTGACGTGGTCATTGGTCCTGATGATACGGTATCGTTCGATAGTGAAGTTTGCAGGAAAGTCGTCTCCGGTGGAGCAAGAAACGCCGCAGTCAGACTCCCCATTCTCCACGTCGGATTCCCTCAGCCCGTACTACCCTAGGTACATTTTCCCAGTAGACTGGGAGTCTGGAAATAATCTACTTTTTCCTGTCTTCAGTCTTTTTTCCCTCCGTTTTATCTGTCTCCCTTTCTCTTCTCCTTTTTGCATTGTCGGATGGGAGAGTGTGTGTGTATGTGTGTGTATATGTGTGTGTGGGGGGGGGGGGGGGGGGGGGGTTGTGCATGGATTTTCCTCGTCCCTCTTTTGCCACTCTGGTCGCGAAACGAGCCGTGACCGAGGCACGTTACTGAAGCTGTCCACATGTGATTCGATGCGCTTTGCAGGACTTTCTTCTCTCTCTTCCCCCGTTCGCCTCTCTTATCACCTTTAAAAAAAACTTTCCTCTGACAACTGCAACAATTTCAGTCGCCAAGTGCGGCAAAAGACATCTCGTATTTTTTAGTACTGACTATGGCGACGAACAGCAGCAAGGATGTGGGCTCGCTCAATTGCGAGAAAGAAGTTACGTTTTGCAAGCACAATTCCCCAATTCTATGGTTTGTTAACTGACGCTATTTTCATGGGAATATCACGGGCAGATTGAGCTTAGTGCTTCAATAGAGCTCCTTCTGGACTCTCATTCTCGATAATGAGTTTTCATGTTTAATGAACTTCATGTTCACGGGTCTTCCTTGATTCTGTGCAGGGGTTAAAGTGGTCCAATTAAGAAATGGAAACTGAGGGTTTGAGCTTGAGGTGAGGAGAAAAAGTTCGACTTCAGGGTCACTACGTCGAGTCCAGTGGCGGTTCGTGATATGCAGCAACAGTAGTTCTTGGGTGAAGAAAGAGGAGGCCGGCCTCCTCTGTCTCCACTGATGAACCACTATTGCTGCATATCGCGAGCCGCCACTGGTCGAGTCACTCGTAAACATGACTAAGCCATTTAAATCCCCTGCCCGAAGGTAGAATGCTTGGCCGTTACAAGGCTCGAGTCAACTATTTCAATGATTTGAGAAGCCCTCATGTACAATATGGAACACGAGGGAAAGTATCTTGAGCTATAACATGTCCCATCGAAACACAAACAAATTGACCGGGCTTGGGTTCAGCGGCCGGGAGAAATAATTTTTGAAGCTGCTCGAGTTTTCTCACCATCACCACTGGTAGGTGATAGGCTCATGGGGCTCCGATAATCGAATCAGACAAACCACGACGTGGAGAGTTCGCAGGAAATAACTACCTGTGAGGATTTCGTGTATCGAATAAGTTCGTACAGTAAAAATATACCTGCTTGAAAGTATAACCCTTATGTACGTGCATGTTTCCCAATTCGAAAGAGAGCTGGAATACTGAATAGACCGAGAAAAAGATTAGAACCTCCTATCACTGCAACCCCCATCCACTGACTTAGCCCGTCCGTGAAAAAAAAACATTTATTCTCAACTGATTTATGAAGGAAAATTAGTCAAAGAAACCAGTGGCACCTGATTGCTCAAAGAAAATTGCCTATGCGGTGTCCCAACAAGTTAGAAACACATGTGCCATTGGGTGCCAGCCATGAAGCGTTAAAAATGTGGAAAACAAAAAATCATTTGAATAGTAGTTCATGTTCGCATTTTGCCATTTGTAGGAACCTCCTGCGACCGTATGCCAAATAGCAAGGCTCAAGCTGCAGTAGAAGAAGTTGCCCTTAGAGCTAGACTACTCGAATAGCCTACACTTCTCGGTCCTTTCCTTACTTGTTGGGCCTTAGGTACGCAAATATGTACAATCTTGAGCTAAGAGAATTTCAAATGATCATTAGCTTAGATTTGATCAGATCTGGGACAAAAATACTTTTTAGCACTGTCAACACCTGGAACACTACTTGACGTCGCCAAAACGATTCCCCCCTGAGAGAGACTAGTCCATTTCTTAGGCCCAATCCAGTCCTTATGTTTGCTCGATCTTCCACGTCTACGCTTCTCTCATGAAGTTATTAATCCTCGAAAAAGTTTATCAAGGCTTCATCTCGACCTAATCTAAACGTAATGCAAACCCAATCTAAACCTAAGCTAACCCTGAACTAATACTAAAGCTAAGTTTTAATCCAAAATTGAGGACATTCACGTCTTGTTCTTGCCTTTTTAGGGCGCCTTCATTAAATCAGATGTAGATTTAGCATTCGAGTGATTCTTTCAAGACCTCATGGAAACTGACTGTGTAGTAGTTTAACTTGTCCCCTCATGCCGGAAATTTTCCGTTGTCGCGAATTTCGTCCTCCAGAACGATAGAATGGAATTATTGCTTCATTAATGCTCATGCGAATATTCGATTTGATTGCGATTAGAGACGAACCATGGGGACATTATGCTGGAGGAATGCAGGATTTTCTCAGTTATGTTGCTAGGCAGACTCAAACGTTTTCCATTTCCTCTCTGACTCGTTACATCTCCAAAGTTGTGATAGAGAATGGGACGCTTTGTATGCGGAAAAAACTCGAGGGCATCGACCACTTTACTTGCGCAAGAAGATCCGTTCCAAGTTGCTGTGAAATCCAATTGCAGGGGGGACCATCATGCAAATTGCATGCTGGGGTAATTGTCCTTCACGAAAGCGTCATGATCAAAGCAACCTTGCTGTGAAAAGCGAAAGCAGTGCAGTTCGGTCACGTCTCCCTCACATGTGCTTATACCTCGTAATGTGTGCTCGGCTGCGAAGTCCAGACTAGCACAGTACCCCATTCGCTTTTAATACGCGTTTCAATCCGATCCATACGTTCGCACGTGCCTCACGGGCGCAGTCGAGGGCTCGACTGTGAACGACCTACGTCACTTCCCAGTCTTTATGCATTCGAATCTGCATTTGTATGTGGACACCCGAAAGGATCCAGTCTGGATTCCCTGGGTGAATCCGAGGCGGTCTGCATGCCGGAGAGGAAGAAAAGCCGTTGTCGGAAAAAGGGGGAGTTTTCCACTGCAGATTCATACCGGATGATGGTGGTGGTTGTTGGGAGGGGAATTCTTTCTTCCCTTTTCATCCATGCACATGTTTCTCGCCCCCCAATGCAAAATGGGAGTGGACCCCGGCTGGCAGGGAAGCTAGCAACCCCCCCTGATGAAATCGGACACCGCAACAAATTCTATTATGCTCTTCCATTATTTCCCAACCATAGTCTCCCAATCGTACTCTCGAGGTTTGGTCGGGCGTCGTTCATAAACCATTCCGAACCGCGTGGGTCTAGGTAACGAGGAAAGATCTAATTGATATGACACCATGAACCGTTCCTAATGGGCCTGTGGTTTCTGTTTTTCTCCCCCCTCCATGCTTCCCCTCCCTTCCATTTTGCATCCATACTAAAGCATGCATCCCTCTTGATGCCCTACTTGGGGCTAGTATGTAGATCCTTCCTTCATCCTGTCTCAGAGGACTGGAGGAAATAAGGTATCCTAGTTATTTGCAGTTGCTTTTTAGTCACCTCCTCTGACTATGCATGGACAAGAAATATGCTCCCAAGCAGATATAAGATTCTTTTTTTTTTCTACAAGAGTGTTCCGATCTCGAAGCAGGTTCATCATGGAAGAATACTCGAAAACAATAACAAGCACTTATCAAAATGGTACATTTCTTGGAACGTCAATTCAAAACTGAAACGAGTTGCTGAAGGAAGATACGTGACAAAGAATAGGTTATTCCCTTGCTTCCCCACAACTTCCGTTTTATTCCATCGTATGTATGACCAAAGTGTAGAGTGTTTGAGGGATGTTGATGCAGTAATTTCATTTCTTCTTGTTCTGCTTCAAAAGTTGCAGATTGTTGGGTTTTGGATGGGAAACTCTTTCCTTCAAACATTCACACAAGAAGTCCAGCACTTTATAAATATCAGTGAAACGTAGAGGCCAGGTAGTGAAATGCAGTCTTGAAGACTCCAGAAAGATACTAGTTTCTTGTGGAAAACATCGACCAATGAAATGTTTCGCGACAGCAACATGAGACGACTAACTACCTTCTGGTTTGGTTGCACAACTCGAAGGTATATAGATGACGATTTTCTCAGAATCTTTTCCCCGCATTTCATTTCATGCCAACATGTCGACGATGGATATCGTCTGTTGAACCGCCTAACGGGACGTAGCATGGCTGGGTCAAGGACACCAGCGGAAATCTATTCTACATTCCAACACCTTCTGATTTTCCTATGGTGATCCGTTTACTCAACTTATCATTGCTGGAGGCACACACGAAGCTATCGTTCTTCTATATAGAAAACAATAAGACTTTTCCTTTTAACCACCGTATATACTCATGCATTCTCTCGCAGAAACTCATTATGTATGGTCACGCTGACGATTCCCATAGGAACATGACGCTCTAAGAAGCTGCGTCGTCCTGCTTGCCTAGCATCTAAATATAAACGATACGACTCATTAGACGCAGTTGTGTCAGCAGATTTCAATTTAATATGAAATTATCCAACAGCTCTTGAAACTGTTAGATGCGAAGATGCTCGAAATAAATAATACATATATATATATATATATATATTTTTTTTTTTTCAAGTTACCGGCTTCAAGTTACCACGGTTGTCAGAAGTCCTCGCATGTTTTATATTGTGCCAAAGTATGATATGATTTTGTTCACTAGGAACTGTATGCTTCAGCTTGAGTATTCTAAAAATATTTATGAGTCTTTTAATTGAAATATGTTGTATTTTGCAGCATGCAAGCATATAATGGCCAGAGTCCTAACAATCCGTACATGCAAGCATCAACGCTTTACAATGGTCAAGCCGCCCAAACCTATGGAGTTCTTCCACAACATTATGGTCTCGCTAGTGAGTACATTCTTGGTGAGTCCACGTGTGTTCATGATCCTTACTCGTGCTCTGGTACTGTAATCGCTCTCATACATCTCCAAACAAGGGAGCCTTTACCCTACGCTTCCTGGCCATTCTTCGTCTGTTTGCCTTCGCACTTGAATTATTCGAGGGGTCAAGACCTCCATTGTTCGGGGAGGTCGAACTACTTCTTTCGACAAAATGCTTGATTGTGCGAGTGACATGCGGAACGGCATGCACGATGAAGAAAGAACAAGGAAAAAAAGGAAGAGAAACTCTAACTGTGCCTCGATAATCGATGAGTGCAGGGCATGAATGAAATCATACTTCAACTAGTTCTGTCGACGCTTCATGAGGCAACGACGCCATGGAGTAAAGCGGAGATGGTCGTGATTTCGCGGTGTTAGTTTTTACAGAGACGCAGAGATGGCTGGGAAGCCTTGAGCATTCGAAAGAGAATGACAAAGACAGGGGCTTTGTTGTCTGTTCTTGTTGAAGGTGCTCGGGGGAGTGGGAAGGGCTTCTCAAGTGGTTCCGCCGCTGCCGCTTCCTACCTGAGTGCCTACGGGGGCAGCTTGAGTAGCCAGACAACTCAGGCCCACTACCCAGCCTACCCTGGCACTTACGCCCATCCACCCTCACAGTCCTACTCATCCGGGCAACAGGTACCCTCACTTTTGTCATTCAACGCATGTCCTTTTCGTCAACATGAATGTCAAGTGGCACATATCAGATGTAACTATTCTATTTCGTAATATGAATAAATTCAACCCAGTAAAGTGGTCTCTCATAGTAGCCTGTTGTGAAATTGATGGAGGTTGAAACAAAAGTCGGTCTGGTGCATTGATGAGCTGTAACTTATTTTTACTTGATTTCCTTATGTAAGTAAAAATAAATCCAGTGAGATGGATTCTCATAGAAACCTAAGATGAGTACAAGTCATGTTAGTTAAATAGCCCTGTTGCACTGTCTTAATGATCTTCCTTGTATAGGGGGTGGACTACTCTGGGACGTACGCGGGAACTTATCCAACTCAGACGACAGGCTATCCATATGGTTATGGAAGTGGACATTCCACGGCAGGGAACTCCTCTTACATGGTAGCTTCATCTGCACCTCCAACGACCAGTGGGAATGCCTCAATTCCCACCGTGAACTCCTCGTCACCCCTGAATCCCCTCGCCTCCTCTTATCCCCTCGCCAATTTAGCTGGTTCGCATCTCTTCCCGCGTTGGTTTATTGAAAGCATTGATAAAACGAGAGAGTGTTGTAAAATGGAAGCATTCTTCTCCGTTGTAGAGCATCCCTTGGCCTACCAGGTTCTCGAGAGCGATCCATCGTCTCCCCTCAAGACAGAGCCCACTAATGGCGTCCGGAGATGTGAGTCATCCGGTTCGTTGTGCAGCCTTGTCACTACGATTAGGATAATGCTACCGTGCTAGACATTCAACCTTATGTAAACGTTAGGAAGTTCACTGAAGCCTGATTTGGGCGTGGTATCAACTCATAACGGATTTATTGTGTCTTGTAATAGATGGAAGATATATGATGATGATATGATCATGTCCCCATCATTCTGCGTGAGCAAAATTGTACGAAAATATTCCTGTTCTGTCTTAAAATAGCCTCTACGACGAGCTCATCGAGCAGAAAGCGAGGACGACGGAATACGAACCCTTCTCCAGATCCAGAGAGCAACTTGGAAAGGGTGTTCATTTGGGACCTGGACGAAACTATTATAATTTTCCATACCCTTCTCACCGGATCCTACGCTGCTACCTATGGCAAGGTCTGCCCACATCCATCATGTCTGTTGAAATTAGCAATGTTGATACTTGGGGGGAGAGAGATAGTGCCCGAAGGGAGAAAGAGAATGGAGAGGAGCAAGAATGGAGTATATGCAAAGGACGGCAGATGGATGAAAGGCATTGTCTTCTACTGGGATGTTTACTCGTGCAGGGCCAACCATTTTTTAAGCAAACATCGAGGAGGGAGAACAGAAATGAAGGGAGGTGACAGACGACTGTAGAACAAATGAACCAGCCCTGTCTGTCTGTCTCTTTCCCTCAGCAGTCGGATGATTAGCAGGGAACTCAACGACATAGACGCAGACACATCTGTAGACTCGTGGGGTGGAATTTTTTTTTTCATCGTTCTCGGTTCGTTGTGCTCACACCTCTCGCCGGCAACGGAGTTCTTGTTCTCTGGAGGATGTGAGGCCTGTCAAACTAAGGCTGAACCTCACGCTCCACTACAAGGGCTAATTGGGGGCCGATTGATGAAGGAATGTCTCTGCTTTCTCCCTTCCCCTTGAGAAAAAATTTTCACTCTGCTTCCTTCTCACCTCTGCGCAACTAAGTAGTGGGAAGCCAACATTTTCTGGCGCTGAAGGCATCTCCCTCTTCAGAGCATGTGGGGTTCAGATGAAAGAGTAAACTCAGTGAAACAATGGACTGTTATTTTTTCTGGCCCAACTTCTGAATTCAGGAATTATCAGTATGTGGAATAAATGTGACGTAATAGATCTTCATTTACATATTCCAAGACATAAAATTCAAAACCATTTTGTTCTGTTCAGAAGACTCCATGGATCAATTTTTCCTATTGTGAAAAACCTTTCATCTTCTTCCTGGATGCCGCGATTATAGCATCCCAATTCCCAATAGCGTCAGAATAAGTTTCTCTCGTTACTCGAAGGAGCTTACAAATTGAAAGACAGGATTGAAAAGCAACGGTAGAGGATTCAAGGACATCTATTTGAGATTCAACATTTTGCCCATATTACCTGAATGTTGGAAGGAAACGCTATAGCACAAATAGCACAGCAAAGCAGATTCAGCCAAATGCACCATTTAGATTAATTTCTCCGAGCATATTTAGATTGTCAATGGCTCGCCTGTTTTCCTTCTTATGTTTATATTTTTTTTTTTAAACTGGATTTCCTCTCTAATGAATAAGTATTGGAAATACAAAAAAAAAACACAAGAGTCCAGAAATCTGCATACGAGTTGCAAGAGGACTTGAAGAATCGAGACAAGGATTTCTTGCCCATTTATATGGAGAATATATTTCGGGACTTTAGAGGCTATTGTCTCTTACCAGAGTTCTGAGAGTTCATGAGAGTGTATTGTTAAAAGACAAGGGTATTCATAAGACAATTTAGAAACAAGACAATATGAACTTACCATATGAATGCCATACCTGAGACTTCGCTCATGCACCCACATTACGATATGCGGCATGGAGCATATTTATATTACATTAAGTATCCAAATAAGGACCAAGTGGCATCAAATCGCTTCAGGTTATGAGGGTTATGAGGACTAAAGAAAGTGAGCCAAGAAAAAAAAATTGATACATTTTTTTACCACACTTTCACTCCTCCTAACTCAATATGCTCTGGAGGTGTGAGTTGCTCTTAAAAGGGGTCTTCGTCACGCATGACCAAGTATCACCACGACCATGCTTCAGTTTGTCGTATTTCATGAATCGTCATTTAGCAAGTTAGAGACTTGGCTCTTCCCCATGCATCTCTGAGTTCATGTCTTAGTTGTTGCCAATTTCTCGCGTTAATCCCTTGGGCTTCGTCCAACAAACTTGGGACTCGCTACGTTCATGTGCCGTTTGTGGTGGCCCGGTCTCTCCACTCCCACACTCGCTCTCAATCGTCCTTCAGTCCTACACATGAGCAAGAATCTCGTAAATAAGGAAGTGAAATTCGTGCCCTCATAGTCTACCTAAGGTCATCTAGATGGAGTTTGAATATCAGAGCCTCTGTAGGAGATTTCTGAGGACACTCCCGTATCATCGTAGAGATCCCACTTGTATGTTTCAACTCGGACCGGTCGGTGATCACCAATAAACAAGCTTCTCGTCATTTGATTTTTGCAGTGGATACTGTTATGGCAAATGAGTTGCTTCGGTAAAAAAAAAAATGATGATCTTGAAGCATTGTTATCAAAAGATGTATTTTTGACTGGGAATCAAGGGAGAAAAATAAAATTGAGGTTATTTTTTTGGTGTTTCTCTCAAGGGACTGTATTTTTTAAATATTCCTGTGAGGACGATATCCGTAACTGACCACACCTGAGGGTCTCTTTTGCTGCTTACAAACGCGACGAAAGAGCCTGACAATCCATGCGAGTCATATGCGGTCTCGAGCAGAACATTTTCCTATTACTTTTCTGAAAACCATGTATATCTGCTAGTTCTCGCCACACTTCGTGCTAAATATTTTTAAAGACTTTTTGTCATCTAGTTCAAAGTTTGTGTGACGGTACCATAATTTCTTATCAGTAGGAATTGATTTTGGAGGCGCAAATTTTCGTGCTGATAACGAAAGTTCAGGGTATCTTGTTCAACTGAAATATCTTATATATGCCCTTCATTATGAACTTATCCTTTTGGTAAGTTTTTACTGACTTGCTTTTCTCAACCTCGAATCTGTCCTTCTTTTGCCTCCAACCTTCGGTTTGAATTTTTAGTCTGGAAAGCTCCCCATATAGTCCCCCGATTTTGTAATTCATGGTTTTACTCTTCACTGGTAATAAGTTCTGAGGCAATTTTCATGTCAGAATGATTATCATGATTATTATTAAGCTGTTCTCTACCCGCAATATCAATGGGATGACATGAGCCCCCTTCACTCTCAATTTCTTGAGTTAAAGAAGACTTTGTGGAATATTTCAGGAGCCGAATGGGTCCGTGAATCTCGGGTGTCGTATGGAGAACCTGATCTGGAAATTGGCAGACACTCATCTATTCTTCAATGATTTGGAGGTGAGTGAGGCTTGAGGAAACACGACCCCTATTGGAATACTTATTGCCGAGCATTTCTTTTTGGATTCTGGCGGAATCTGACGAGGTCCTGTAGCCCATTAACCGATGGCACCGATAACTCCTGCCATCTACTGGAACTTTTTCGAAACGCCTCTTTCGACTTCCTCTGCCAGAGGACCGACTAAGCGCGCACTGAAAGCTTGTGGATTGACTCACAGTACCCCCCCCCCTCCCCTCCCCCTCGTTCCCCATCACCTATGTCACCAGAAAGCGCTCGTGCATCGTGAATACTTCAATCGGTGTCCATTTTCGATACGGAGAACGGTTTCCTTTTCCTTCGAATGACATTGAAAGTTACCACGCACGAGCAGCCTCACATTACGAAACTTGAGGAATATCCATTCATTTGCCTTAGTGAAGCAAGTGATAGGGGTAGGGGGGGGGGGATAAGGAGGAAAGGATCTGTTTGATCATACTGAAGCAGACATTTATGACGTGTCAAACAGTTCTTGGAAGGGTGTGAAATGCCTCTGCGTTCCCTCCCATGACACACATCTCTCGCAAATACTGCTGTCAATGCACTTGGTACAGGCAAACCGATTGCCGTTGAATCCATCCTTGCAAATTAGTTAGAGGTTGGAGACATCTCCGTACCGTATTTGCTCTTTGATATACTTTTGGGCTGATACGACGCTGAGATGGATGAGGCCGAGAAAAGACGAGTTAAAGAGCGATTTCGCCCTTCGTTTCTGACTACGGGAATAGAACCTGGGGAACATGGAACCTCCTGCCAGACTGCAATGTGCTGCATTCAGATTCCGATTCGTGCTGCCGAATGCATTTGTAAGCGCAAAACTCGCCAACACTGAATGGGGAATGTAATCCTTCCTAGAATGTGAGGGGCAGCTGTGAATATGCTGCAGTTGAAGGTCTCGAGAAAAGTTCTGAGATTGAATTTGAAAGAGAGTAAGAAAGCGACTTCCGAATGAGATATGGCCGGGGGTTGAGTCTCGACTGGTTGACGAAAGAAATAGGAATGCGGAAAAGCATGAATGGCGACTAATGTCATTTCTTCCGCAGGCCCCTCATCTATTGAATTCTTTCTTTTCCTCGGTTGGTTTCTTCCCATGCTGAGCACCCATTGGAGTGCCGTAGACAATATCCTAGAGCACCGCGTCCTTCCTTGTCAATCATTGGGTATTGTGTCAATCGATGTGTTAAGATTCCATGCGTGCAATAGCTGTACAGTATGGACCTTGCTTCGCGACTATTTTATTTCCGGCATTTTACATGCGCGCCATCTAGATCAATTTAGTAGATATACGTCTTGGAGATGGCTCTTTGCCAGTCGTTGATACTCGTGTCATTACACTATAAAACTAGGATTATCCTCCCACCACTCGCGTGTGCAATTTGATTGCATCAGTTTATGGCCCTTGCTTGTGTCCATCAAGCAATAGGTATCATTCGACCATTTGATAGTTGGGGAGCATTGCATCGGAAAAGGAGCAACGCATTTGTACTGTTGATGTACTTTTTCCATAATTAAGATATTCCTACTTCCAAAGCCTACCTACAGGCCTTCAGCCTGTCTCGTAAAGCATGAAGAGAAATGAAAACGGGTGGGTGACATTGTTGGCCACGACGGATTGAAGGCATAAAGTAGGCTTTGGATTTCGAGGTTAGGTTTTCTACCATGTATGTCGCATTCAGTAGCATGACGAATGCATTTTTATCGCAGCATGAGAAATGGGAAAAGTTCAGGAGTGTAAGAAAAAGCTGCGCGAACATATTGGATGAAGCGTGACCGCATAACTTGCCGAATGTTCAATTCGTCATATGATGATTCGCCGACTTAAAAATCACCGATTGCTTAACTCTCCGAATTCTATCCTGCTGACTTGAATATTCAACTCGTCGACTAAATGGAATATTGTAAATGCTTTTCGCTGGGTACTCGGGTGCCGAATTTCCCAAATACACGACTAGCATTGCTCATAATAATGACTCTTGTATGTGGCATTTGTGATGGACGATGAATTGGGGGGGGGGGGGAATTATACTAAAAATGGAATTTTTTTTTCAATGCTTCTTGTCACTTCATCCTCTATAACAGATACATCAACCATCCATCATTCATAATTATGTGAACTCTTGTCAAGTACTTGGAAAAAATCGGCACCCGTGTACGGAGCGAAAATTCGTTACAATCTTTCATTAAGCCCACTACTTGAAAATTTGGAGAGTTCAAGTCGGCAGGGTAGAATTCCCCGAGTTGACATTCGAGTTGAAAAATCTGTGAATCGTCAGCGAGTCGTCATTCGATGAGTCGAACATTCTGTAGTCGGCTATATGATAGAGAACCAGATGAGGTGCAAAATTCGAGTAGAAATTCAAATTCCAAATTAACTTGAATAATTGAGATGGTAAACTGCATTCGATTGTCCTATATTTCCCATGAGGATTCTCAAATGCGAAACTTTCTCAAGACGTGCCTAGTCCTATGAACGGGGCATTTTGGTTTAAGAGAACGGTTCATTGATTAATTGCACCCTAGGGCAACCATTTTTAAAATGTAATTATGGAACGGCTGACGAAGATGAAAACTCTTGGCGAAAGGATTACTGTCTTCTCCCATGGGGGCTTAATGAAGTCATTGGCTTGTGAATAAGGCACACCGATTTGCTACCTCTGTGGTGTGGTGTGTGGTGATTCCTCGTTGTATTCATTGCAAAGCCTCAGGGAACTACATTTTTTCCCCTCCTTATTCCAGGACTGTGATCAAGTACACATTGACGATCTAGCCACGGACGACAACAACCACCAAGATCTGAGGTGAGTTGTGCCTTTGTTTAGGGCCGCTCAAGCTGCACGAGCATCAGACGAACCGGGCTATTCACATCGTTTTGTGTTCTGCAGTGCATACGACTTTTCTAGGGACGGTTTCCAAGCGTTGAGTGCCACCGGGTCCCTCCCGCCCCTTCCAACTGGGCCAGTCCGGGGAGACATGAACTGGCAGCGAAAGCTAGCTTTCAGGTATCGCCGAATCAAAGAGATCTACAACAGCTACCGTAACAATGTTGGAGGTGAGTCTTCCTTTTTTTTCCCCTCTCACCTTGTCTTGTGTATGAGGAAAGCCATCTTCAGAGGAAGGCCATCCCTCTAAGGAGGTTCCATGAGGTCACAAGGTGGAGATGATAACGTTGTCGCGGCCATGTTGTGACTGTTGTTTTCAGGCCTCTTGCCATGACACGGTAGCATTGTCTCAGTCATGGAGCTTTTTTGTCTTGTAGGAATTAGGCATTGACGAAGAATCTCAGGGTCAAGGACTTCATCCCCTCTTTCTTCTGGCCTCACCTTACTTTTTGCTTCTCTCTCGTTTGTATACCATACAGTTATTCGATTTCGAATCCCTTTGCGCTCACCGAGGCCAAACGCTAAGAGGCGACGCTTCCTCTTTTGAAGTATGCCGAAGCTATGGGTGGTACGCCGTCGGAAGGACGCAGAATGACGAGGCAGAGAGATAAAGGCAAAGTTGAAGGCAGCGAGGAAGAGCATCAACATGGGAGTGGGCCCTGCAGGTGCCACTTGGTCTAGCTGAATCTCTTTCATATCTCGCGAATGGAAGGAAGAGCGTGAGAAAGAGGGAAGAGAGTGAAGTCTCCCGCTGGAAGGAAGGTCTTCCAGCCACTCCCAAGTCCTTCCCTTCTTCACCTAGCCTAGAGGATATTATTACATCTCCCTCCTTCATTACGTTACCTTGATTCACAAGACCTTTGGAAAGAGGCGCTCCTTCCTTCCTTTTTTTTTCCCTCTCCACACAAGCATTAGCCAGCCCGACCAGGCCGATGCCGGAATGCAATCAATCGCATGACTCGAGTGAAAAAAAAAGCCCACTAGAGGTATGCGGTGGAGGCGTGCATGAGTAGACCATGGAATACATGGGATGTATTCATGGGATCGGATGTGAGGTGGAAAGGGACAAGGGAGGTCTCTTTCACTAGGTCGCTGATGGCCAGTGGCGTGCAGGATCAGCGTGCCAACGTGCAACGTGTGAAAGTCTCTCGACACGATACCACTCTCTCTTCTCTTACTTCCCCCATCATGCCACGATAACAACGTGAACTCGAGTCTCGAGTTGAGCAAGCAAATCCAGACTATGTTCTTTCCCTTCCTCTCTCTGCTGTATCCCCATTCGCTCTGCCGTTCGCTGAGTCCACCGAGGCAACTTTCATTTATACGCAGCCAGGTTAAGTGTGTTGTTTCTATTGGCATAACGCAAACGACAGACAGCAAAACAGCGAACGAGGAGTGGAAGTTGCCAACAATTGGAATTGCCAGATTAAGTAAATAAGAAAAAATGACAAGCGAGGCTTTCTTGCGATACGCCGATGAGCATAAACTGCCAAATATTTACATATATTGGGAATAACGTTCCTCACAATTCAAGGAAGCCCCTTCCTCTTTAAGATGACTGATGAGACATCAAGAGGACGTAGTTATAGTGCTTTTTTTTAAAAATAGTATATATATATTTTAATATATATTTTAGAGAAGCAGAGGGATACGTAATACGAAAATTCAGCTCGAGGCATGTTTTAAGCTTAAGCACCACCTCAGCATCACGAACTGTTTCAAAAAGAATATTTAAATAGTACATCGCAAATAATTTATCCGATTTCAGCATGCTTTCACCAACGCAGGATAATCCCCTTTCGCGTAATAATTCATCGCTATGGTCACATCAAAACTCAACTTTTCTCACTTCAAACGTCGTACCCCTAACACTGTGCATGCTTGAAGAATGAGGAACTGAGCATGGAATCATCCGTTAAGTGGTCTTGACAAGAGACAGAAACGCATATAAGCGTCTGGACGTCCTGCCATTCCAGGAATCCTCTTCAATACTCACATGAAAAGGAATTTTTGATACCCTGACTATAGTCATAAAAATCGGGAAGAAAAGGGAGTCTTGACGTGAAGGTGCAGCTGAAGTGAGCAAGTTCTCTTCGGTGTAATGCGAGAGTCTTGTAGAATTCCTCTCAATAGATGAGCAAAGAGAAATGGAATGTAACTCCTAATGTGTCCGTGGAGTAAGCCAAAGCCTGGATTCCTCTAACTCCTGGCAAATCTATCCCTCATCCCTGTTGCATACAGAAGACATCCTGAAATATTTGCCTAAGAACGTTTTGGGGAAGAGTGTGTAGGGACGTCTGATACGAACTCGAAGGAAAACAAATAGCAATAAATCCATATGAGAAATGGTGACTATCCGATAGCGAATCTGGTTAGCAATACCATCTGCAGTCAATAGTGTTCAATAACTCTTGACGCACTCTGTAAATGAGAAATTTCACGGGTGACAGGTCCCATTTCTTCATTCGATGAACCAAGGAGATTACTTTGGTCCTTGCACACGTGACCGTTTTTTTGTAGGATCAGGTACTGTAGGAGGTGTGCTTCAGGAGTTCAGATACGTGACTGTGTTTTATAAAGAAAGCTGTCAGGGTTCTGGCAATTCCGTAAGTACCACTAGGTATAAATACAAGGAGAGAAGGCCTTGTGAGGGAGAAGCAGGTGATGCATTCGAGATGAGGGGAGTGGTAGGGGCAACCAGGAGCATGTTGACAGCCATGGGAAAGAAAGCGAGAATTGAGGACTTTTATACTGGCACAAAGGTCAAGGCTACACCTTCCCAGATTCTTCTGTTCCGCTCGACCAAACAGAAGTCCTCGTGGAGTATGTACACTTTTATAGAGACAGGTAACCTTGGCACGGGAAGAACCCTCTCTCTCGTTCTCCTCTTCCCTCAGCTGATTTTGTTCATGGCCAGGATGACATGCAGCACTTGGGTAGTCAGGCCTTGGCTTCTGTACCTCCCGTCATTTCATGAAGGGAACCTTGGCGACCATGGATGCAACTTGTGGAAGAGCGAAGATGAAAAACCGAGGGGGGCCTTTGGTATTCATTCATCACTCCATTTGCGTTTTTGACCTTCCCGGTCCCCTGATTTCCGGTAAGAAGTCAAGGCTCTGACAACAGTGGCGGCTGGAAGAAGCAACTCATCCCAAGTGTTCAGTCGCATTCTGTTAGACTTTTTCCCCTCTGAGTCGAGGTGTGATAAATTGGCATATGTGGTTCTCCACCTCTCCCCCTATACAAAAAAACTACGCCTTTGAAAATGACCGTGTTTTTTTTAATGTTTTATTTGGAAGACGACTAAAGCCGCGCCCATTTCCATGCTCATGAACCAATGCACAAACAGGCACTAGGAAGCACGACTTTGGCCACTTTGTCGTCATGTGTCTTCACGATTCACCTTAATCTCATGATGCTCATTCGGATTTGTTTCCTGTGAAACTTGCAGGTCTCTTGGGCCCGACCAAGCGAGAGGAATGGCTTCAACTCAGAGCCGAAATCGAACAGCATACGGACAATTGGCTCACCCGAGCCCTCAAATGTCTCGCCATAATCCATTCCAGGTATTGAAAATAAGACTTATTCTCTCGAGGTCGCATTTGGGAAGCTCGGAGTCGTTGAGTTTCTTTTTTTCAACAGATCGAATTGTGTAAATGTATTGGTGACGTCAGCGCAACTAGTCCCCTCCCTGGCCAAAGTCCTTCTCTATGGTTTGGGAGGATTCTTCCACATCGAGAACATCTATAGCTCTGCCAAAGTCGGTGAGCATTTCTTGATTTTTGGGACAGAAACTCGCGTGTCTCAAATTGTGGGAGTCTTCATCCATGCGAACTGGGATCACTTGATTGCGGCCTACTGAGACGAATTATATGAATGGAGACATGCAATCAGGCTGCGAGATGCCGGGAGGGTGTGGTGAAAAATTTCCCCCCTCAAAATGTCAATTTCTGTTTAGAAGACGAAAATCCCTTTCATTGACTTGTCATATCTCGTTCGTGCTGTAACATCGGGGCATATTTCCGTGTTGCCACACGATTCGCATCTTCACGGAAAGGATGATCACATGATAGGAGTTAACGCAAGTGTGAGCATTCCATGGCGCCGTGTCACTGTGAATTACGTCGCTCAAATCAAAACCCGATCCGACGTCCTTTTCTTGTTTTGTTATGTCAAGAAAACGGTGCCGTTCAATCCATCGGTTGAAGCAGATTTACTTATGGATCACATGAAAGTTCTTGCGCAGGCAGTGATCGTCTATTGGGACGATCTCATATGCGAATAGGTATTTTCCGAGCGCATTAATAAGTGTAAACCAGCCCTAAAAAGTCTAGAGAATAAATTCGCACCGCCTTTTACATTGAGCAATGTTATTTCTATGGTGCATTCCAAGAGGTGCGGGTATATCTCCTACGATAAATGTGGCATTAAACTTATGGAGCGCATGTGAAAGGTGGTACGAATTAACTTGCAAAACACTGCAGGCAAGAGACTGGCATCTGGATTTCGCCGATTAATGTGAAAGCACCCGTAGAAAGCACCCGTTTAATGTGAAAGCGCTCATGCAATTGTGAAAACAGAACACGTTCATCTTGTGTCCTGAAATCGATCGATCGATTGATCTTTGGAATTTCGATGATTTCACGACAGGAAAGGAAACTTGCTTCGAGCGGTTGGTGAACCGATTCGGACGGAAATGCACGTATGTCGTCCTGGGCGACGGGAGCGACGAGGAGACAGCTGCCCAGCACGTAAGCCAGCTTTCATCCCATTTATCACGGAATCCCGGCCATAAATCAAAGACTCGACAAATTAGACCAAATTACAAATCGATTACTTAATTTCAAGCAAAAAATCCTTCACATGACCAGTATAACAAATTGCTCTTGTGCACCTCGCAGAATGTTAATTTTCACTCACTCTGCTTGCTGGTGCTGCAAGTAATTTTTATTACATAATACTATTTTTCTCTTAACGAAGAAATGAATCAATCACAATTATTCACTACTTTAAGTCACCATCGTGATTTAAATTAAATGGCTTTTCCCAATCAAATTCATTGGTTGATTTGATTTCCTGACATGATCACAAATCTAATCTCAAAATGTGACTTCAATCAGATCAGGCAGGGAAAGTACAGTATATGGCCTGCCAAAAAAAAAAAAAAAAAAACTTTTTCCAATCGAGTCTTTTGAGTCCAAAGATTTTATTTCGTCTGCCCCGATTGGAAATTTAAATGCATGCCAAAGTTGTTCAAAACTATCATGTCCTAATTATCAGAAAGAATCTGGCTTCGTATTGGGAATATGACTTCAGTTGGTTTTTTTTTTCCAGATGAATTTCCCGTTCTGGCGGATCGATAGTCCTAGAGACCTGGAGGCCCTGTACAACGTCCTTCAAATGGGCTACTTATGATCGGGGAGAATGGATGGAAGAGAAGAATGAATGAATGAATCCATCGATCCATCATTCTCTAATGGGGTGGGCAGCAGAAGATTTTTCCCTCCAAGGCTGAAGGTGTCCAAGAGTGAATTCGCTGCCGCCTGTCGCCCGTCGCCGTGTGATACTTACCAATATACCATTTTGGATGGCTGAAGACGCTTGAGAATTCTATGGTTTTTTTTATTATTCCTTTATGACTTGTTTCTTCAGATGGGCTAGGAAGGAATTCAGAGAAGGTTTTTTATTATTATTTACCGAGATGACTTGTGATTCCAGTTCCTTGTTGCCAAATGTCTGTCTCTCAATCTCTTTTTCCTTCAAGGTCTCCATCTGGAAATGATCTCTCATGTGTACTCCACGGGAAGAAGAGTACGGTTATAAATGCGTCCTCCATTTCCCAGGCCTTCTTGGACGTCTATTGAGGGCATCGAGGCATTGAGAATGTATAGTATAAAGCAGTGGAATATTCTGCCTAATACATGTCACCGCGGGAAAGAAAAGTGGCCTCTAAGTAAAAAAAAAAAAAAACCGAGTCGACCCGGTTAAGCGAAAAGCGAAAGGGTCGGTCTGCTGTCAAATTGCTATTTGTTTTGATTTGAATGGGAAAAGGCCTGGAAAATGAAGGATTAAGACTTGGTTACGTTGCATGCATGCATACACCTGTAGCTGCAGCTGAGTCGATAGACCATTGTAGGCCTATCCAAAAATCCTCCATCCCCCTCCCCCCGTGAGATACCAATTAGTAATTGTAATCGAGATGTTATTTCCGTTATTTAGAAGGGACCAACCGCCTTTCATCCACTAATCTTTCCTTCTTTCTCTCTTCGTTAGCTTTCAAACTTCCTTCTTTCTTCCCTGAAACTTCTCTGTGTCTATATTGTATTACTGTATCTACAACTATCCACAGTTCTGTCACTTTTTCCAGTGCACAACTCGAATAACTATGTATTGTTATGACTCTTCTGTGAAGTATACATGTTGACACGAGTCACTCTGTTGTGAGATTCATTCCGCCTCTCGCTGCATCTCGAGGGAAAAGCAGGAAGATGCCCGTTTACCCATCACGGAACAACTTCCTTCCGTCATTTTCTTTTCACTTCGGTAGAAGCCTTCGCCTCGAATGAGGGGAACCTTTCTCGAAAAAGACAATTGAAGGTCGACGTCTCGGGCCGATATATACTATTGTTACTGTTGTGTCCTTCCCTCTCTATTGTGTTTTTCGATTCGTCCGCGGATTAGGTAATGTGCTTCAGGTTCCGCAAGTGCGACCGGTTATGCTTACAGAAACCGGTTTCGACAGCAAAGTTCTGCGAATGCGACCATCTTTACTGTCTGCTTTCGACAGAAATCGAAGGAGCGGATGTTGAATCACTTTTGAGGCTTAGTTTTCCTATCATCGGATTTCTGGATCAGTGAAAATCACACGAATCTCATGAATCAATCGAAAACGAATATTTCTATCAATCCTCAGAGCCATCAATCCCTCTGATGTAGCAATCCCATGTACAGATCGAAATTCATCATTGCACGAGACTGATGGATATTGATAAATTTCTATCAAGACCCCCATGGATCCGTGGGAGTTTCGGTCTATCAATTTCAAGGATCAACTGCCAGGAATATTGAAGGCTTCGCTTTTCCCTAAATACCAAACTTTAATCCTTTCAGTCACGAATTATTTTCCGCCCGATTTTCTTGATTCCTTTTTACAGAAAAACATTCATAGTAGCACCGAGCATGGAAATTACACTAATTACAGTATTTCCATGGGAAAAATCTTGTAATTAGACAATTGGTTGCCTTGGTTACGGTCGAGAAGGCCGTGTCTCGGTGGATCCCCTGCTTCGTGACAGGCGGCTAAATAATGAATTTCCGAGTGAAATCCTAGCCAAGTAATTACTTTTTTTTCAGTTCCCCTTTCAGACACGGGTTGAGCGAAAGGGGAAAGGGTCCAGAAGCTATCGCATACCTATTCGTTTCGTGATGACTTAAAATCCAACTGGGTTTTCCGAATGTCTCCCTCTCTAGCCTCGTTAAAATGACGTTGCAGGGAATGAGGCAATGAGGACGATTCCCCCAATTGAAGGGATCATCTGAGATCGTAGCCGTGTGAGGAGACGTGGAACGGCATTTCCTTTTACTTTCTGCTTCGTAGTCTCTCCCCGAGCTAGCGAGGCTGAATGTAGATGCTTTACTCGAACGAGATCCCGGCGGAAAGTTTTAATTGGTCTGCAGGCAGAAATTTGGTTGCATAACAAGTGAAGCCCTGGCCTTTCTCCCGTCTCTTCCTTCCCTTCCCTCTCCTTCCGTGAATCTCGAGAGCCCGATTGGTGATAGATAAACCGTTTCATATCCACGGCGGATCTGAGAGACTTTCACACGGATTCGCATTTCCTCTTCCACGTTGGGAGATGCTGGCTGGAGTGATGATGGTAGAAGCAGGACATCTCCGCATCGTGAAGACGGGAATCAGCGGATGAAGCGTGCCTCTTATGATTCCCTGGGACGATAGATCTCTTTCAAGTAGAGACATTTATTTCCACAGAAAAATCAAAAATTTTTTTTTCAGGGAATGCACGACTCCTGTTAGATTCCATCTTTTCTCCGTGAGATGGCAAGCACCTTAAACCTCGTATAGTTCTTTAGCCATATATTGCGTAATGCGGTTTCGAAGCAACATACCAGTTTTCATGCTAAAATAGCTTCTATTGACCATGCTTATGAGTAATGCTTGATATTGCTCCGTGGCAACAAACACAAGCTTCCGTCGTTCGTAAATCTTATGCAATTGTTAAGAATGTCATGAAATAAATAAAAAGAACATTTCTGATTTTTTATTGTTAGTTCATGCAATACAACGTTAAGGAACTGGTCACGTCCAGAACAGGAAACACGTTCCACTTTCTTCCTGCTCCCGCCTCATCTCCATCGGATCCTCCAGACCCATTTATCCGAATACCTTTCGTTATTCCCTGAAGAAAATTCCCCCCTAAACCTTGAGTCCTGCAGTTCCTTTCATATCTCCAGAGAGAAAAGCCTTTTTTTCTCTCTCTCTGCAGACCTTTTGTGCTCTCACGCAGTTTCCTGAAGATTACGAGTAAACAATCCCACCGTCTCCGAGTCGTTACCAAATCGAAATATGGAAAATGTGCATTATGCAAAGGCGAAATTTCCTCATCCGAACACTCCCTGTGGGAGATTCAACCGTTCACGGCATTATAACGTGTGAAAGTTGGCACTGCCAGGGGGATTCGAGGGAGACTGGTCCGGTGACTACGGGGCAGCCCTGCGAAATGCTTTAGCCTTTTATCTCCCTCTCTCTTTCTGCATGAGGGCACGTACGTGCCCGATCGCTTTGACGACCGGGAGAAAACTCCTTTCATCGAGGAGAGGATCCCGTCTCTTTTATTTTTCATTTCTTTCCCCTCCAGTTTTTTCCCCCCTTCTAATTCAGAAAGTGAGTTTTGTGAGAGAATGCGAATGGAAGGCGGGGAGACGTCCGCGTTCAAGGCGAGCCGGTAGCCGAGCCCATACTTCTCACTTCTCGGATAGGGGTAAGAAAAAAGAGCGGATGACACCGGCGCTGCGCACTCGCACTGTCCTGCTAATCACGGCTCCCAAGCACCACTCTATGGTCTTGTGAAAAGCCACTCGCTATCAGAGAATGAGACAAAAAATATACTTATAGTGACGTAAAGGAGATGCCAAGAGGACGGATGCCGAATTGCAAGCTTGTTCTTGGACTATATTTCATTGAAAGGCAGTTTTGCTTTTCATCTCGTCCATATGCCGAAGTCCACCTCATAATTGTTTTTTTTTTTAACGGTTAATTGGATATAGCAAGGTGAGGTTTGTACAGGGTGTTCCGTAAGTCCCAGGTCATGATTATTTACAATGATTATTATAGATATTAATTCTTAGTTCTTGTTAATTAATTAATTAATCATTGATTAATTATTAGTGTAGGACAGGAGTACTCCCTCATTCCAGCAGTTGCTCGAGCCGACTTGAGGCAGTCTGCAATCACGACTAGTGTTCCAAGATCCTCTGTCGTAGCTTCAATATGAAAGAGTCAAGAGCAACTGAAAAAAAAACACACAATTAAGCCCCATGTACAAATATACAAGAATATATCATTCTTGAATGGCACCTGAGGTACAAGTATTCTTTTTTATATTTAAGCACAAATGAAAACACATATCAAATGTTCACAAATACTGTCACTGCTTGAATGGAATTATGGCGAAAGTGAGAGAATGAATTTTGCATGTGACTATAGGCAAGGTAAATCAAAGCAAGGCAATGCTTAAAAATTCCTCGCATCCAAGGAATGGACGTCGGTATGGAACGCAGATCTTTTTATTCGGGAAGAGAAGACGCCTTTTAAATAGTACTCACCTCGAAGCAAAATGAGTTAACATTAGTGAAACTGCTGGCAATTTGGAGCTACCTGGATTAGGGCAAATATGCTTGTGCAGGTACTTGGGGTACTTAAGCAGATGAGAAATATACTATAGTATGTACTTGAATTGCTCCTTTGAAAGAGAGGCTTAAGAACAGGGCAATCGGCATCAATTATGTACTTTGTTACGAGGGGGAATAAAAAAATTCCCGGACTGGTTCTGTAACTACTTCAGTACTTAATGAAGAGATCTCATTGATGAGCACAACCATTTCCTTTCCAACAACATTCCTTTCAGCTGTTTATTCTTTGCTAAATTGTCAACTTCAGCCATGTCACATGATTTCAACCTCTTGTCAAGGTCGGCACAAAGTTGTCGTGTCGAATGGGCTGCGTGTCTTCTCGTAAGTATATGTTTTCTGTTGAGTCTTGGGGGTGCATAGGTGAGGGTTTATTGCTGACTGGTTGACCCACTTGGCAAAAATGAATGAGGAATCTGATGAGACAAATGGAAATTCAGAACACCATGAACATTTTTGCGAAACTGGATAAGTGCACCGAAAAAACTTGTGGCGTGTCACGTGCCTTTAGAGCATATGTTCCAGGCTCGATCGTATTGGATCGGAAAAACAGAAACCCAGAAACGGGAGGGAAAAAGCAGGTCATCAGGGACGTACCAAGGTCATGTCGCCATCAAAATGGATTGAAGGGAAGAGCAAAGTTGCAGAAAATCCTTCAGAAAATTCAGAAAGTGACAATTCGTGAGCTCGCAGAGAACTTGTATTTATTTATGACGTCATTCAGGCAGTTTCCGTCAAGTTCCTCTCCTCGGCAGATGTTGATGATCGCCCTAACCTTGGGCCACCCTCTTAAGGTCTTGTTTTCAGCGAATCGCTTGCGTCACTTTAATGCCTTCAAGGTCCTCGGTGCTTGACACACTTTCCGACTTCCTCGCAAATTTTTCTTCCGAATCTTTAAGGTGAAATCTTTAAAGAGAAATTCCGTATTCATTTCAACCGAGTGTGTCGAAGCGTCCAAGGAAAAATCCTCTCAATATTCAAGGGAAAGCCAGTAAGCCAGAAAATTTGCCCAACAGGAGATATCTACGAGAATACACATCTGTACATCACGATAAGAAGTTGCAGAACCAGTCCGGGAACTTTTTGATGGCCCCTCGTACATTCCTGTAATATGTACTTAAATCGGTCGTCCGTCAGCCTTTCACCACAAGTATCCGAGTCAGTGCATTGTACTTTCCAAAACAGCTTCTGTTTCTCAAAGATGGGTTTTATTAAATTGCCGAGAAATCATCGACGATTTCTTATCACATCGCTGAACCCGCAGTCGAAGAAAGGAACACGATGCTAAGTTGGTCCGAGAACAGCATGAATGGCGGCATCCCCTAGAAACCCACTTGATCAACGGACCTTGACGTTTCCTCGGGTTAGGAATTCCTCCAAGAGAGAGACATAATCATAATAGAGGTCGATAAGATGAGTTGTTGACCGGAGGGAGGAGAGGGGGAGGGAGGGGGGGG